GGTATGGCATTTTTTAACACTATTAAATATACTCTTATAGGCTAGCTAAATTGGGATGCGTATTTCTGATTTTCTCAGAGAAATATTTTATTGTACTTTTTACGCTCGGTATATGTCATGGTGTTTTTCAACTTCTCTCTCATATAATTCCCATTTAAAGATGACTCAAAAGAATCAGTTTTTGAGATAAAGTACTAACACAAAGCTCTATCTAATTTCATTGCTCTCTAGGAGAAACAGATGAGATGCTAATAGAATTTCATTTGGGTTTTTTGTGACTCTTTGTGACTGTTTCACTTGGGTTATGCAGAATAATACATTTAGTTCTTGGGAAACGAGGACAAAGCTTGACACGCTGAAAGCCTAGGGAGATGTTTATTTAATAAAACTATGGTAATTACTTCAGATAATTATTCACTAAGAGTGATCACTTATTGAGCAGCTGAACAGCAGTGTGAAAGAAACTGAAATCCTGGATCACAGTGATCGAAGCCAAGTGAAAACTATGAAAACTGAAGCTTGTTTCAGATCTACTGTAGCATCATGTGGAGGAACGGCAGGACTTCAGCCATCAAAGGCCCAAACGTTTGAGTCTTGTCTCGTCAACATAATGTGCAGTTTTATTGGTGTCGTTGATTGGCTGTATTGGTGTTCAGCTCTGATGTCTGTGGTGGGCTTCATGCTTCCAAAAACTTTCAATTTTTCAAATTCGGTTTCTTGACAAGTCAGTTTTGGCAATTTTTGACTATGAGTACCTGACACCAGATATATTAGATGTGTTCAGCTGTAGTTGGCACATCAGCTGACTGCTTTGCTTTCAGCTAATTTGTAGTTTTAATGAATTCATCTAAAAACAGATGTCATGTGCTTGTTGGAGGAGTGTGACTGTGTGACTGTGAGGAATGTGTTTTAAGTAAATCTACGTCTCAAGGCTTCCTTGACCCTCATATAGTTTACTGAAAAGTGGAGAATTGGTGGTGTTGAAATCAGTTTTCTTTAGAAGTGAATTCCCTGCTTGGGTATCATTATCTGCTTACTAGTGATCTTAGCAGTAGATTTCCATCGCTCTAATACTCCACACTCATCTGTTACTGTAGTTCTCTTCAATGGCTTTGCTCTTTCACTCTACTGTAGACTCCTAGAGGATCCCAGGATGAATTCTCATCACAGAAGAAGCCTGCAAACATCTGCAGATATGACAGAAGCTGCTGGATTCTTGAGTGCAAGCACTCTCTCTGCATAGTAGGGTGGATTCATTATACAGCAGCTTTGTCACAAAGACCTTCCCACTTTTTCTGTCCAAAGCGACTCCCAGCTGGGTTTGGATCAATACCAAACTCCATAAAACCATGCATGCAATGTTTGTTGCCTGTTTTTCTTGCATTTCAGCATAAATAACAGCTTAGAGATGTTTAGTTTGGCTTGTATCGCTGGTGCAACAGTGCACAACAGCATTATAAAAAAAGCAGGAAACTCAAATATATAGGGCGAGGGGATACAATTGAAATTGTATTATTTTTTTATTTTTTTCAATGAAATTACATTTTTCAAATCAGTATTTAACTTGAAGCAATGCAGTTTAAATGTAGACTGGTGAAAGTTCCTTGTCAGTTTTTGAGTCTATATATTTTCTCTTGATAAAATAAGTTTTGTTTTGACTTGTTTTTCACAGTAGGAAAAGCCGATTAGAAATGACTTGAGGGTGAATAATTGGTGACAGAACTTTCATTGTCGGAACTGTTCCGTAAACAGCATTTGACTCAATGCGGTTTAACTGCAGTGTTTTCTTCAGTTCTTGGGGAGATGTGTGTGTGTGTGTGTGTGTGTGCACTGGTTTGGGTGGTTTATGAGGACACAAATTTGTATAATGTCATGGGTATGACACGGGTATTACAATATGAAGGTGGTTTATGAGGACACTTCCTGTGTCCCTGTAATTCAAAAGACTTAAAAAAACATACTAAATAGTGTTTTTTTTTTTTTTTGAAAATCTAAAAATGCAGAAAGTTTTCTGTGAGGGGTAGGGTTAGGTGTAGGGTTGGTTGGTTGATAGAAAATACAGTTTGTACAGTATAAACACCATTACGCCTATGGAGAGTCCCCTTAAACCACCAATACCAACATGTACTGTGTGTGTGTGTGTGTGTGTGTGTGTGTGCGCGCGCTTGCGTGTGTGTGCGTGCGTGTGTGTGTGTGTGTGTGTGTGTGTGTGCTGATGAATGTCAGTCTGTGTATATGTGAGTGTTGTCATGCACACCTGTCAGTCTCTGAACTGAAGATGAGCGCAGGACGGATGCTCTGAGAGGTTTGATGTATTTCCTCCTGATGTACTGTGTGTGTGTGTGTGTGTGTGTGTGTGCGCGCGCTTGCGTGTGTGTGCATGCGTGTGTGTGTGTGTGTGTGTGTGTGTGTGTGCTGATGAATGTCAGTCTGTGTATATGTGAGTGTTGTCATGCACACCTGTCAGTCTCTGAACTGAAGATGAGCGCAGGACGGATGCTCTGAGAGGTTTGATGTATTTCCTCCTGAAGCGGCACGTGTCCTGTGGGATTGTTTGCAGACTGGTGCCGTTCGGTATGTTGAGCAAGTGATATCTTTGCTGTTGTTCGTTTCTATCTCTCATCTGGCCCAGTGTATGTCAAACTGACTGAACTGCCAAACATCACATATCACAATTTGCACAATATTTGTCTTTTGTTTTGTTTTTTTGGAATATTCCTGGCTTTGTTAATTTAAGAAGTTGTCGGTTTTAGACACGTGTGCATTTCTTACATTTCAGAATAGCAAATGGGACTCTTAGAAGGCTAAACCTTGCATATGAGCACAATGGGCGTAAATGGTGATGAAGAAAGCTCAGCAAGGCTTTCATTGTTGGTCTGAATCTTGAGGAATGAAAGCTATTTGCGTTGTCTCTGTGGTTACTGGACTTCCTTGGGAGGCTTCCAGACGATTCCCAGCTCGGTTTGCACTCCCTCAGGAAGACTTCATAACTCAAAGTCACCGATAATAGTATCCTAGTTCTGTATTATGTGAAGCCTGCGCCCTTACAAACAGCGTGTGCTATTAGTCGAAGTGTAAGACTGAGGCTTGTTATGTTCTAGTCATTTTGCCCCAAAGAGGATTTTCTTTTTCCCTAAAATGCTAATGTTATTGCATTGGACTAAAACTTACTGGGTATAACAAGTCACCAAAAAATTAGATTTTTTTTACTTTTTGAACTTTTTTTGAATATTTTCAAAAATTACCAGCTTTTTAAAAAGTAGAAATTTCTCATTATGCTACATTATCACCAAATAATGGATTCAATCTTTTTATTGTTTTGTTTTCCTTCAGTTAGCACAGGTTTTGTATTTATTTTAGGAACTGATTGATTGTCAGCCTCATTGATCTCAGTTTTTGAGTGAACATTGCCACAATAATTATTCACAAATCATTGTTTTTATTGGCTCAAAAAACTGAGGTGCAATCAGCTCCAAAAAGAAACACAAAACCTGTGCTAACTGAAGGAAAACAAGTTGACCAAAAGATTGACTACAATATTTGGTGATAATAATATAGCATAATGAGAGATTCACAAGCAATTATTAAAAGGCTGGTCATTTTTTGGCACATCACAAGTGTTAAGGTAAATCCTTTTATTTTCGTATTGGATCAAGTTAAATATATAGTTTGTAACACTAAGACCTTACACATGTAGTCATCTCCATGTTTTTCCTCTTATAAGAATATCAAATAAGAAAAGAATAGAAAACTCAATATTATCTACAGTACACTAAAAATGTCCATTCTAATGACTTTTCTGCCAACCATGTGGATTGGTAGTTAATTATAAAAGACTGAAAAGAATGAACTATAAAGGAGTGCTTTGTAGGAGCAGAAAGGGAGTGGCACGTCTTATTTTTTTTGTTTTAGCCACACAAACTGTCCTCTGTTGAAATGTCTACAGCGATCAGTGCAGATCTTTGAGGGTCTGAAAGCACAGGACGTTTCAGAGGACGGCCCTCTAGCGAACACGTCTACCAGCACTCATTAGTTCTGCCTGCTTTATCCGCTCACAGACACTAACCCTTCCCCTACAGCCAGCAGACCTCAAGAAAGAAGACACATCACTTGAATCGTATCAGGAAATGATCTAGGACATTATTGTATATCAACATCAGTAAAAGCCCAATAAAGAGCCTAATTACACTCGTGACGGTGTGATGAAACTGAGTGTTGCAAGAGAAAGGAACTGGCTGTGTGTGTTCCTCTCAGGCCTCTCATTAGTGTTCAGAGATACGCAATTAGCCTCTTAAACACGAGCGTGTAATCCACTCAGATTACCCAGAGAGCTTTGTGCTCCGCACACGATCACTTTAAAGCATGACAACAGGATTTAGGACGCTGCCTTTCAGCTGCTTTCTGGCGTTTAGCGTCGCCTGCGATGTCACGTCTGTCTCTATTGAGCCTTATTTGGTGGTTTCAGTTTTTTCAATCAGTAAAATGGTCTAATATAAATTATTCATTTGAACATCTGATTTCTAAACAGTGTGAGGGCCTAATGGTTTCTGAATAATATCTGTATTCCAATGATGCATTAATTTTAAGCCTCTCATGAACATTTTGAGACATAAATTCAGAAACAGATCATTCAAGTGAAGTTATTAAATGTAATTTCAGGAGGAGTATGCCCATCTAATCTTCCCATTAATATCCAAGTATAAAAACAGCCTCTTATCACTTCCGTTGTTAGTTCTTTCGGCATCCCTCCTCCTCCCCATCTCCACCTTTTATGCATATTTATTTATTTATCTTTCTGTCTATGGAGGGTTGGGGGGCAATCGGAGCTCGAGTAGAATATCCTCTCTGAGCAAGCCAAATCTGTTTAGCACTTACGCTAAGATTATATGGGCACACAAACTCGTGAAGTGCATCTAATTTTGATGTAACGTACCTGTAACGTCACTTCTGAAGTTACATTACGTATGTGCATTATAATTCCAGATTTTCTCTTTTTCTAGAGACTTGAGTGAGAACTTCATCCAGGCGATTCCCCGAAAGGCCTTCAGAGGAGCTACGGACATCAAGAACCTGTGAGAGCTCATGACACAACTGCACAGAGACCAGACTAAACCCAGATTCTGTTTAACCGTCGTTTCACTCGGTGTTTTACAGGCAGTTAGACAAGAATCACATCAGCTGCATCGAGGACGGAGCTTTCCGTGCGTTACGTGGACTTGAAGTTTTGTGAGTAGAAAAACACACACAGTTAAAGATCAGGCCCATCGTATTGACGCCATCTTAACACATATGAACCGAAATGGAACAGAATCCAACCTGTGGCATGAACAAGAGCGAGTCTGACCTTCTTTAGCATCCATCATCAGTCTGTGGAAGGCAAACGAAAGTGTGCTAGAGCCACTGTGATCTCATTCATAATCACAGGACGTCTGCTTCTAGCACTCTACACTTTTATATGTTTGCGTCAACACTAAAACCTGCATCATTAAAGGACAGACAGCATGTAAAACAGCAGCGTTTTATGCCAACGTTAGAAATGGACAAATGTTTATGATTTCATCAGGATCATAGACTATTGAATTCATGACATTAGTTAAATCAGTGTTAGTTAAATTAGTTAATTACATATTTTAAATTCCAATATATTTATTTAATACAATTAATTAGACGTGACAATTCAGCCCCTTTGGAAGGTTTTCTTGACTTTACTTCAGCCTAAACGTAAAAGCCTGCCCTTACGAAAAAGAAGTTTATTCAAGTGTGCTATTAGTATACTTCTTTTAAACTAAAAATAGGAAAGTGTACTTTGTCTACTTTTTATGTACTTCTCAGAAATATACTTAAAATGACATTTAAGTATACTTGACTTGTACTTAGAAAAATACGGTAGGGGGCGCTAGTATACATCTTCTGTACAGAATTTCCAAAACACAAGTGAAGAAGAAACCGAAACAACAGATGCTTCCACATGTATTCTAACACGATCATCAGACATAAAACAGCATCAAAACTGTGTAACATTATGGATTAAATTGTCGACCAATGAAGAGGTAATAATGACTGACAAGCTTTGGGGTGTTGATCGACTTTATCTACGTTTTGATTATCATTCAGAATCCAATTCATAGACTTTTTTCAGCTTTTTGTTCAAAATGTTGTTTATTTCTTTATTTTTTATTTATGAAACTTATCCACATTCAAGTGTTTAAAAAAAGAATGCATGAAGCTA